ATATAAATAAAAAAAAATAAAATTACAAATAAAATTTATATAATTTTAATGATCTAATTGTAAATTTTTTATTAAAATAAATAAAATAATATTTATATATTTTTATTATAAATAAATAATTTTTTTATTTTATTACTGATTTTTATTTTAAAATAGTATTATATTATTATATTTTATATAATAAAATATTATTTTTAATATACTTAACACACACTTATTTAATTAATAATTTATAAGATATAATTATTTTAAATTGTTAAATAATTTAATTTTATATGATTATTAATTTGTTATTTAAGATAATAAAAAAACCTTTTCTATAAATATATTATTAATCTAATTATTTAATGAATAAGAAGAATTTTCATAGTATTAATTAATTATCATATTAATATGTTTTTAATTCAAAAAATATTCTTTTAATATATATCATTAATTTGATCATTTTTGTCTTATTTATTATAAACTTTTCTTATATTAAATTAAATAAATTTTTGAATTATATTTTTCAATTTTAATATAGTTATTTTATATATATTTTCTTCAAATTTTGAAGAAATAAATAATATTTTTTTAATCTAATTTTAATATGTTTATATTTATTATTCTTTGATTTTGTAACCTCATATACAAATATGTATTATCTTAAAATTTATAAAATATAATTAAAATAAAACATTTTTTAGTAAATTTTTATAATATATAATCTGTTAAATCTCTTTATTATAAGATTTAAAATTTTTAATTTAAAATAAAATATTTATTAATATATTGTGATATTGTATTAATATTAGAATAATATAGATTAGAAATGCTAAAAATACTATAAATATTAATTATTTAAATATTTATTATATTTTTTATAAATATTACAATATAATCTTTTTTATTTAAGATAATTAAAAATTTCATATATAAATAAATAAAAATTAAAAATTCTATTTTTTTATTATTATTTACTTACTATTACTATAAAATATTGAAAATAAGCATCTATCCAAAATAAGTACTTCTTAGACTTTCGTCATGGTGTAAGCAAAAACTAAAAATAAGCATCTTTGAAAATAAACACCTTTTTATAGCTGATTGATCAGTTGGATTCAATGTATAATAATGAAAAATCCATGAAATTTGATATCATCATACGTTAAAATTCTAAATTTTAATATTAGCGATATAAAATTCTATCAATTTTTTGTCATTATGTGTCAAAATTCTGAATTTTAACATTAACGACGTATTACTCTGTAGACTTTTTATCATTATGTGTCAAAATTCTGAATTTTGACATCAGCGACATAATATTCTGTTTATTTATCATTATGCATTAATTTTGATATCAGGTAACATAAAATTTATTATTATACATTAAAATTCTAAAATTTGACATTAGTTTTTGTCATTATGTGTTATAATCAAGGTTTTAATATACAACAATATGGATTTTATATCAGTTATAAATTTTTAATATAGAAATAAATGAACTAATAATGATTTATTAATGAATTTATATCAAATTTATTAAATCTTTTATTTAATCGATAACAATTTCAATACTATTATCTAATTCATTTAAATTTTTCTTTTCATATTTTTCAATCAATTTATCAATTTCTTCATAAACTAAATCATCTTATAATCTATCTAACATATTTGAAATAATACATTTTTTAAAAAAATTAAAAATAATTTGATCTGAAACAGCATTCTATAAACGTTTAATCCAACTACATACATCACTAATTTTTACTTTTTTAAGTTAGTTGCTGCTATTATATCAACACTACTATTATACATTTATTCATACCATTCTTTATGTAAATTATCTTTAAAGGCTTGTTAATTAATACATTAAGTGGTTAACATATACTAGTTAATCCTACTAAAATTATAGCTAAATGAAAATATGCTGTTTAAATTTAACTTTTACATTTTCTTTTAAGTGATCTCGAAATGAATTATATACTATCATAGTAAGATTCTTTGATAAATTTTCAGATATACAAAATTTAAATAAAAAATCAATATAATTTTTCATTAAATCTGATAACATTTATCCATTTTCTTGAAACTAACAAACAACATTTTTTTGAATAACTTCATTATGAGGAAATTGTTTTCTTTTAAAAATATAGATAGAAGAATATTTTATATCATCTGCAATAATAAAAAGCATTTATTAAATTTAGTTAAATATAAAATAAAATAAAGATTAACAATTCTATATCAGTTAAATAAGTTAAAACTACAGTAAAATGATTTTTATTATTTCCAGTAGTATAGATATGCACTGTCTTATCTTCTTTATTATTGACAGTTAAATTTCCTGTTATATCAAATCAAACAGAAGTTTCATTCATATTGAAAAAGTTATTTAAATTAAAATTATACTGTACCTTCAACCTTATAACAAATCTTTTAAATTCTTCTAATTTTGTTTCTAAATCTTCAGGTAATTTTTGTGAAATTTTAGTTCTTTTTCTTAATGATAGGTTAAATCTTTTTATAAAAGAACTAATTCAAGAAAAACTTTCTTGAAATTCATATTCTTCTATTAGATATAATACTTAGATAGTAGGTTTTTTGAGAAATTTAGATATTTGTAATCTAATAGAAACATAATTAACAGATAAACTTTTCTTTCTCTGCTCCATAATCCAAATATATAAGAGATTTTTTGCTTTAGGATAAAAAGTTTTTCTTTCTAAGTTAATGCTTTTTTTTTACTTATTTTTTTAATTTTTTACTTTTCTTAACTCATTTTTCAATCATTAGACCATTTAAATCAAAGTGTTTTGCTATAGCATTTCTTTTATATTCTTAAATATATTTAATTACTATTAATTTTTTTCAACTGAATATGATGTTCTTTTTCTTATACTCACTTTTTTTTTCACTATCATTTTAAAAGTTAAAAAAAAACTTGCAAACAAATAAGTGTGAAAAGTTATTTTTTAATAGACAAAAAAAAATGTTTTTTGTAATAGGTTGAGTAATAGATACAAAAAAAAATCAATTGTTTTTGTAATAAGCAGAAGGTAAGTAGATAAATAGGAAGTAAAAAAATTTTTTTCAGTAAATAGGCAATGGATACAAAAAAAATATTAATAGTATGATTAATATAAAAAATCAAACTCTTTTTATAATAAATCTATAAACAAGTAGCAAATATAAAGAAAAAATTAAAAAAATTTTTTTTTCATAATGATAGATGGATAGATAGTAAGTATGATAAACTTTTTTTGCAATATACAAAAACGTGCTAATTGAAATTAAGTATTTTCACTAATTTTGGTAATTACGTGATTGCAAAAAAAGGGTATTTATTTTTAGTGTTTTACAGTAAAGTAATTGTATTAGTATATTGAATACTAAATTAAAATTTAGTTATATTATATATAATTAAAATTTGCTAACATTATATAGAATTTAATAATATTTTAATAATAATACTATATTTAAGATAAATAAAATATCCTTTTTTAATTATATCAATTTCATAAATAAAATCTATCACAAATTCTGATCTATAGTTTCATAATTTTCTACACAAAATATTACACTAATTATTTGATTATTATTATTATTCATCCTTACTTTTTATTTAAATAACTTATAAGATATAATAGACCATACATAGTAAAATGATCTATAATATTTTATATAACCATTTTACAAAATTATCTCTATTCTAATTATATATTATTTGTGATTTAGAATTAAAATTTTTTTTTTATAGATATATAAACTAGTAATTAATAAATTTAAAAAATTTGTATAAAAATCATAATTAATTAATTTTCCTAATTAGTATATGTTTTTTGTTTATAATTGATTTTAAAATGATATAAATGATATACTGATTTATAACATTTTTTTTATAGTATTACAAATTTCTTTACTAATAATTTTATTATCATATTTTAAAAAACTGATTGATTTTCATTAATAATGATTAAATTCTTTTCTTTTTTTATATCTTTATAGATACAAATTTTTTTAGCTAAATTTATTAAACTATAATACAATTATTAAGTAAAATGTATTATATTACTTAAGATATTTCACATCTCAATAATATTCACTTTCCTCCTATCTAATAATTATAATTTATAAAGTTATCAATTTGGTTTTTCAAAAATTCTTTATAAAAAAGATTTAAAATGAAATTTTTAGATATAATCTACTGGTATTAAATTAATTTTTAAAATATAGATAATGCTATATAAATTAATATAAATAATAATAATAATATAAATTACAATCAATATTAAATTAATAATTTGTATTTATTCTTAGTTGTTTTTTTTTTAATTTTTATAAAAGTAATACCAATTCATTTATTTCAATAAATAAAAAAAAAGAATATTATTATAATTATAAATTTTGTTACTAATAAATGCAACTGAAAATAAACTACTGCCAAATTTGAAGATGATGGATTTCTTGAATTAGATCTTTTTAAAAGATAATTACACAGTTACAGTATATGAAGCGATTGAATCTAATAACTATCAAAAGAATATTTAAAATAATGAAATATCATTTATTAATTACATATTAATGTTAATTGATTAAAGAAAAATATTTACAATTTGAAAACAAATAAAATGATTCCAAATCATATATCGCAAGTATACAAAAAAATATTCTTTCTTATCCAGAAATTAATAAAACACGAACCTAAGTATGTCGTTGAACCAATTACAATGAATGTATGAATAAATGATGAAAATATATATAGGTTAGATTATCAATTTACGATTAAAATAACATGTCAATAAAATATATTCAATAAAAAGTAGGAGAATATTTAAAAATATGTGATATTATAAAGATAATGATGAAATATAACAAAAGGAAATGAATAATCAAAATTAATAGTGCAAGGTTATTTAATTATTAAAATGATAACACATTGACCACCTAAATAATAGATTATAATACTATTTCAATAAGTTATGATACAAAGTTTCAAGATAACTTAACACCATGAAAGTTCACATAGTCATCTTCATATCCATAGGTGGTGCTACTAATATAACATTATCATTAGTCAACTCTCTTTTAAATGTACTAAGATTTTGAGTAAATCGATCTCGGTTTTTGGATATCAGGTTGAATTCAACATCTTGCATTAGCGATGTTAATGCCTAAACAATTAAAAATAAATCAGATGTAATAAACTAATTATGTTATAATTAATGTTGCACTACCTTACCTTAGCGAGGACATCTCTTCTTTCAAGCAATTGGTATAACACAAGATTACGAGTATACTGTTCCCAGTACTTTTGTCAAAAAAAAAAAAATTTTTTTGAAAGTAAATCATTAAGATACAGAAAAGCGTAAATATTGCAGATATTGTTTAAATCTTACGTCCGGGTTCAATAATATTAAACAAAGTAATGGACGTGAGAGTGACCATTGATTTTGACTTTCTTCGAACAGTACCGCACTAAAGTTAGCTGTAAATAAATATGGTAATATATTTGGATATTGGGTTAAATAAGAGAGGAGCCAATGTCGTTTTGGCTTTTGTTTAGCAGATTGATGAATAACAAAAGTACAAATATGGTCAATCGCACTACAAGCAGCAGCACATTGTGAACCATGTGGAAAACTAGCTAAGGATGAATATGTGCAATAATAATATTTGATATTAATAAATTTAAAAAAAAGAAATCATCATAAAAAGGATATCAAACTGTTGAATTCCCTCTGCAAGAGCACGCATAATGTAAAGAAATGCATTTGAATCCATATTATGCAATGCCATCATATGTCCATTAGTAAACGTATCTAACCACTCATAGAACGTTTTAGAAAGTTTTGGGTACATCTAATGACATAAATCGAGGAAAATTAATAGACTTCTTTACAAATTAAATATACAAAATCTTATTTCTTACGAGGATATCATCAAATGGAACACAAAGCATCATTTCAAACGAAGTATTAAGAACTATTTCGAGAGCCTTATCTCCATAAAGTTCAAAAACTCCAAAATTGACGTATCTTCCTGCAAAAGATTTCGTCAAGATATTAAAACAGATTGATATTCCTTTATATCTAGATTATGTAAAGATTGCGATCAGTATATTCATAAATTTAAAGATATTAAAGAGGATCCACTTACTTTTCAGCATATTTATCTTGACTGTTGAAAGGACGTCCGATAATTTGCCGACCTAAATATATATTTTTAATATTTTAATTTAAAGTTTGTTATAATTAAACTGATTAAATATAATAAAATTTTACCG